CATGTACGTGTGTGTATGTGTGTGTGTGTGTGTGTGTGTGTGCGTGTGTGTGTGTGTGCGTTTACGTGTGCGTGTCCGTGTGTGTGTGTGTGTGTGTGTGTGTGAGTGTGTGTGTGTGTGCGTGTGCATGTGTGGGCGTGTGCGTGTACGTGTGCGTGTGTGTTCGTTTGCGCGCGCGCGTGTGTGTTGTAATGTATAGATATAATTTTGTATGTGTTTTACCAGCAGTTTAAATCATCCATCAGTTTCCCCCTTTGAGTGATATGCTGATGACATAATACACATTAAATTTTCTCTCTGTACAAGTGGCCGATAACGACCATCACAATACCACCATGAGATTTACAAACCACTCAGCGATAGAAGATGATAAACGATGCGTCAAGAACCTCCATCCCGACGGCCAGAGATGAGCGTCAAAGATCCATCCAAACGCAAACACACGAAACAGATTGGAGTTCGACGAAACTTGCCATCTCTTCGCACAACAAAAGAGTCATAAAGATTTCGCAATCCATGCTCGCGGCGTGTCGATCAGCCGAGATAGAATATCAGGCCCGCAATTAATCAATGTCTTTTAATTGGCAGAATTAAAACCTACAGTTTCATCCTCCTCGCTGCCAATTGGGTCCGTCGCTGAAAAGGCATTATGCAGCAACTTTCATGGTTGTCCTTAAGTATGTGTACGTATATGTATACGTATATATATATATATATATATATATATATATATATATATATATATATATATATATATATACACATATACATACACATGTGTATATATATGTATATATATATATATATGTATATATATATATATATATATATATATATATATATATAGAGAGAGAGAGAGAGAGAGAGAGAGAGAGAGAGAGAGAGAGAGAGAGAGAGAGAGAGAGAGTGCGCTCGCGCGCCTGTTTATGTATATTCAAAACCATTAACATTAATACAACTGAATCTTCCAAGTAGCAAATAAACCTGGGTCGCTAAGAAGTACTCCCGGGGGTAAAACATCTATAACACCAACATAAATCCACAACACACATTACATAAGGCAAATCCTGCCCGTAACCACGCGAATTTAAGAACGACAAGCGCATCCACAGAAGCGCCGGGCAGCAGCTTTCTTATTGGCAAGTCACAGAATAATCTCCGTCTCTTTTGCCGCACTCCGGATTAATGTGAAGACGGTTTTTCTAATGTTCCCAGACTTTGAGCATTACAGCGTCATGACTCAGTAACCCCCCCCCTCCCCCCCAATGCTCCGGTCGTGTGAACATGGGAGATGACTGAGGGTGAGTAGTTTATTAAATAACTTTTTTTCCCTATTTAAAGATATGTTTTTATTGTTGGGTACTTTATAAAAGTCTTTTTCACTGAAAGGATATGAACTACTGACTAGTGATGAATTTGTTTACTAAGCAATATTTTTTTACGCACTTTATGCAGTAGATAATTATTTCATTAAAACAAAATGAGGATTCTCTGTTGCATAATTTATAAACGGCAAAATTTAACAAAATTATACATAAAATATACGAATATATATAAAGCATATATTTACTGTTGATTGATGACCTCTTTTTACTAGACAAAATATATTCATTACTGACTCGTTTTGAAAGGTTTTTATTTTCCAAACTAAATATCCATTTTCTGCTGGGTATATTACAGGTGATTCTATTTACAAAACTAAGTGTAATATCTGTTGTCGCGTTAGTGTCCGTCAAGCCTAACAAGGTAATCGTTTAGCGGTGAGATAAGAGAAACTATTGTTATATTCGGTTTTATCAAGAAGGAATGGCGTTCCTTGTTGAAAATATGTAAATGAGAGAACATGCGGTGATTTGACTTTGCACTGTGCGAATCATTTTCCATGTTACCTCCTGTGAAATTGATTCAATAGATATCCCAATAGTATTTTGAATACTGATAAATGGAGGTACTGTCAATAATGATACTCTTTAGGAATAATAGTAGCATATTCAAAGGTGAGGATGATGATAACGGTCAGTGAGTAATATAGTAAAAATAATAACGATAATGATGATAATGATAATGACAGTTATATTAATGAAATGAATTGATAATAATGACAACAAAAATGATGATGAGACTAAAAATAACAACAACAACATCAATAATGATAATATTAATAATGATAATAATAATAATAATAATAATAATAATAATAATAATAATAATAATAATAAGGATGATGATTCTATTGAAGATTATAATGATGATGTAAACTGATGATGATGATAATAATCATAATAATAATAATAATAATAATAATAATAATAATAATAATAATAATAATAATGATAATAATAATAATGATTATTATAATAATAAAAGCCGGTCAACTTCATCTCTTGCACGGTGAAGATTCGTGACCTTTCAATAACGATGACGGTGATGAGATGATTATCAGTGTAATCATTACTACTATTACTATTAACACTTCTACTACTGCTGCTACTACTACTATTACTACTATTACTATTATCACTATTACTATTATTACTACTTCTACTAATATTACTACTACTACTACTACTATTACTACTACTACTGCTACTACTACTATTACTACTATTACTATTATTACTATTACTGCTATTTCTACTACTACTAATATTACTACCACTACTACTACTACTATTACTACTACTACTGCTACTACTACTATTACTACTATTATCATTATTACTATTACTACTATTTCTACTACTACTAATATTACTACCACTACTACTACTACTATTACTACTACTACTGCTACTACTACTATTACTGCTACTATTCCCACTACTACTACTACCACTACTACTACTACTACTACTACTACTACTGATATTGCCAATACTACTACTACTATCACTCTCATTATCATCATTATTATCGTTATCATTGGTATTAGACCGGCGTGTGCCCCAGTGTTCTCCATAACCCAAATCCGGGTCTAGAAAACGCTATCAGTAATGATAATAATTACAATTACGATAAAAAAAACCCTCTGAGACCCACTATAGCGATGTTACCATAAATATAGTACTTGGAGTAATCTGATCAAGTTTGATAATAGCAATAACATCAACGATTCAGTATTGTTTTTTTTAGGCTAACATGATTATTATGTTTTTTTTTTTAAATTAATTTTCTTGTTTTTGTAAAAGGCAAATCACTTAAGTATCCGTAAAAAATAATTGTGATAAAAGCAATACATGGCATCTCAGTCACACTCCATTGAATATATACGTCAACCCTTCTATTTAAATATAACATAATATACTCCTTGTGATATGTTTACTGCTAAAGAATGCTTTGAAAATATCTATGTAATTTTTCTTTAAATCGCATAAAAATAAAAACATCAGAAACAATTAATATTTGTTATTGCTTTTTTTTAAGCCATGTTAATTTTCCCGCCAAATTCTTATTTGGGTCATATCATTAAAAGTATATAAAGTCTCTTGCTATTAACATCGTCAAAAAAAGAGTCGTGGAACAGAATAATAAATTTTAGATGAAGGAGAAGTGATAAAAGAAGAAAAAATAAACAAAAAGAAAGAGAAAATATTTTAGACAGAAAAGGGAGATCGTCTGCGCTTCGCAAGTGTCGTAGAAGTCTTCTAAAAAACTTCTAATGCTCCTTCTGTTCATGTCGGCTTTTTATTTATTTATTTATTTTTTGTTTTGTCACCTTACTTCGCTTTTTGTTTGTTATAATAAAGAAAGGTTGAGGCATTTAATTTTAAAAAGGAGAGAAAAATAGTTTGATGTAAGGTAAAGTGTCTTTACTGAATACTCTGAAGCTGTAAAGTGATGATGAACTGTACTTTTTTCTTTACTTTTTCTTTTATTTTATTTCAATATTGATATTAATTTGATAAAATACAGAATAGAGAACATAAGCTAATAATTGTGCTTTGTACGAAATATGAGAGTAATTAATAAATTCCGTCGAATAAATAATAAGCAAAACATGAGAGTATTATTCAGAAACGAAAATAAAAATAAAAATAAAGGATTAGTAATAAAATAAATAAACAGTAATAATATACAAAAGATAAAAAAAAGAATAAAGAAAAACTTTAAACAAAATAAAAACTCGAAAAAAATATAAACAACAATAAAAAAAATACTATCCACCCAGTAAATTTAATGAAACTTCCCAGAAAAATGAAATAAAACACAAAAAAAAACAAAATAATAATGAAAAGCCCAAGATGATCTTAAAAAAATTCAACAACGACAACAACAACAACAACAACAACAGCAACAAAAAAAAACAAAACAATCGGAGACACAAAAACAACTTCCTCAAAGTAGAGAAGAAATAAAAAAAAAAAACTAAAGTAATTAAAACACCTGCAAAATACCCTAAAAAAAATCCAAAAAGGGGACCGTCCCTCAGGAACAAAATCCCAACCCATTCCTTCAGAAAACCAATCCCAGCAATAACCATAATGAGAAAATACCCTTAAAACCATCTATAAAATACCACCCTCACCCTCTCCCTTAAAAAAAACTGAAACCTCTTAAACCCTATTAAACCCTCTCCCTAAAAAAACACCTTAAACCCCTCTTAAACTCTTCTCCCTAAACCCCCCACCTTAAACCTCTCATGAACCCTTCCCCTAAACCCTCCCCCTGAGGAAACTTAAACCATCCCCTTGAAAAAAAACCGCCATAAACCCCTCTTAAAACCACTTAAACCCTCCCCCCTAAACTTCCCCTTAAACCTCTCATGAACCCTTCCCCTAAACCCTTAAACCCTCCCCCTGAAAAAAAAACATAAACCATCCCCTTGAGAAAAAAACGCCATAAACCCCTCCTAAACCCACTTAAACCCTCCCCCTAAAAAAACCGCCATAAACCCCTCCTAAACCCACTTAACCCCCCCCCCCCTAAAATAAACCCCGCGTTCGGGCTCCCTCGGCGGCGGTTCCAACAACGCGGACTGCCAGGCTTAGGAGGCAGCACGGAGCGGCGCCATCGGGGGAATCACGTGGAGGCCCCGATTTCTTCGCTTTTTCCGCCCTGACGCTGGATAACACGTAGGAAATGGACTCGAGGAAGATCATAGAGATACTGAGGGGCACTATAGACCCGAATTTACGCCAGCAGGCCGAGGATGAGCTGACGCAGGTGAGGAAATGTGGGTGGCGGACGGTCTTGTTGGGGGTTCGCGGTGTAGGCCTATTTTTCGGGCTTTCTTTTTGTCGCGCTCTTTGGGTCCCTTTTTTCAGGGCTGGCTGGAAGCTGTGGCCCTGTAACGGGAAAGAAGGGCCGTTTGGGCGTCGTGGTGATGTCGTTTCTTGTTCGTTAGCGCCTCTTTTTATCTTTCTACATCTTTTCCTCGTCGTCGTCTTTCTCTCTCTCTCTCTCTCTCTCTCTCCCTCCCTCGTCGCTGTATTTTTCGTCTGTTTTATCGCAGTTTGTCACTCCCACTCGTAGTCACTCGTCAGGGGCTTCTTTCGTCACTGTCTTCCTTCTTTCTCTTCGTCTTCCATTCTCGTGTGTTCGTCATCGCATTATTTTCTTCTCTTTCTCTGTTTTCCCATCCTTTATCGCCGTTTGCTTTAGCTCCTGTCTTCGTACGACACGTGGTTCTCGCCTCTTTTATGCCTTGACGTTGATAATGGCGAGGGGAGGGGAAGGAGAGTGGAAAATAGCCTGACTAGACTACAGGTGTGGGGAAAAAAATATAAATAAACAAAGGATATGGTAAAAAGAAGAGAGAATTGCCCCCCCCAAAGGAGTCTAGATCATTTGATGTGTGCGTTGAAATGAACTGTATATTTGAAGGGAATCCAGGTGAAGTTACATGGTTGTGACGTGACTTTTAAGAATGTTATTCGTGAAGTACCGGTGTAATTTGGCGTAGGTCTTTCAGTTCAGTATTTGCATTTATTAATCCATTCCCGACGGGCATGGTGTGTACGTACATGCCATGCCCACTGTGAGTTTACTTGTTTGATTGTTTTTACACATAGATGGCTAGGACAATATGTAGTATAAGGTAGTGGCAGAGTTGGGTATTAAAACCTAAATGAAAGGATAGAACAATACAAACCAAGACAAAGTTCTTCTATGGCAATGTGTGTGCAAATGCTTCCCAAGGGTGCTAGGTATATATATTACCCCGGGAGTCCAGGAGGCAGAGCCCCCGGCTAGGGAATATATACCACGGTGTTAGGTTAGGTTGGACGTTGGGTTAGGTCGCCCATTTGCACAAGGAACAATGCCTAGAATCGTTGAAAGCAGTGGATTTCATACAGAAATGTATCAAAATTGTTTCGAAAATAACCCATCTTCTTCCCTTTTCTTTTATGTATAGCACCCTTGGGAAGCATTTGCACACATATTGCCATAGAAGAACTTTGTCTTGGTTTGTATTGTTCTATCATTTCATGCAGGTTTTAATACCCAACTCTGCCACTACCTTATAGTACATATTGACCGATGGCTACACATGTACTAAATCACCAATGGGCCAGTTACTAGTACCGCCTGTCTCGCCCGTTTACCCTTTTCTTTAATTTACGAAAATATTTTACATTATCTTATTTTGCTATTACTAATGTTTATAATATAGTAATTATAATGTTTATAATAATAATACCATTGATATGCATAGCACTAGTAAAAAATACATTTTTCTGCCAATTCAAGGAAAGGTCAAATCAGGTAAGGCAGAGCCATCTATGTGTAGACATTCCACCAAAAAATATAAAAAATGACAGCATTTTCCCCATTTTTTATTCATTTTCCCCGGCGGCAATGGGTTAAGGGATTAAGTCTTTGCATGTATTAAGGGATTGAGTCTTTGCATTTATTAAGGGATTAAGTTTTTGCATTTATGAAGGGACTAAGTATTTGTATTTATCAAAAACCAGTGCCAGTGTTAGGCCCTGTGGCAGTGGTTTTGGCTCATAAGAGGCGACTGATAGGTGTTCTCACTAATGCCTGCAAGTGAGGGTATAGAGAGAGAGAACTATGACCTAGTCAGTTTGGAAATCTTTCAGAAAGGAGGCTTAGATTTGTTTTTGTTTTTCTTAATATACCAAAATATAGTAAAGATGGCCCCTCGTACCTTGAGGGTTTGTCGATGTGGAAATTGTAATACATACTGGTATGACTTGTAGCCTGTGATTGAGTGTCAGAAAGACCAGTAGAAGTTTAGTGCTTTTGATTTCATTTTCCGACTTTCAAACCTAGAACCTTCTTATTCCAGTGGGGAGGAGGGAGTTCAAATGCGGGACCCAGCGACCCAGCATTGTGTTTTATATACTGTGTCAATTAGGTTTACATTTGACTCCTCATATAACATGAGCAGGACTACAGATTGAATAACTGAAGTGTGGGAAGTACTTGGTAGATGCCTACAATGGCTGTCAAACAGTTTATTATTTTTGCATCAATATTGGCTGTGTCCTTTGCAAATCCTCTTTTATCTTCCTGTATTCTGTGGTGGAAGGCCTA